TGGAATATATATAGAATTGACCACTGTGCTAGTGTACACTGTCCTGGTACAGGGGAAGAGATTAATTAAATGAACTTAAGATTAAGTTTATCAAAAAAAATATTACTGAACTACATTTCTGCACTTTTTCGTGTGATATATAATCTATATCTATTTTTGAGAAAGAGGAATAAAAACATACTCAATATTCATAGTATTCACATTCTAATACAAATAACGCGATAAATGGTAAACATATTATTGCTTCTACGCGAAATCTTATCGTGTTCAAAAATGAGATACTATTCCATTGATGATACCTTGCGGTTTGTCCAAGCGCCCACCTACGAGAAAGAACACATAAGGGATAAGTTAGCTCACTCTGGTTCATTTTCAACTACACCGTTGAATCCTCAAGATGAAGACACTTGTTGTACTGTTGCTGTTTTCAGTTTTCTTGGTTTTGCAGTTCTATAACTCCGATGGGTTTTCTTTCCCCTCTATCATCGACGACGCAAGAGACGCTATGATGAAATTCTCGACGGGAACATATACAGTTTCAAAGAAGACCCCTAAAACTCCGACGCTGATACCGCATGTAAGAATAAAATTATAATTTCGTTCGTTTAAATTAATTTATAAGTGTCTATTCAATCTCCAGTTAGATTAACATTTGCACTTCATTGTCACAAATCACTTGTGCTTCATTGTTGGAGGAGTTTGTGTTATTATTCATAAAAATTCTATTTAACGTGCATTTCTCGATATATAGTGGAGTGCCGTTACAAAATTAAGTGAGCTTTGCATCGACGAGAAGACATGTACTTAAATTTAACAGATTTGCTATTGTTTATTGTTGTGTTTTTTTGCTTTGTTTTGTTTTATTCACAAAATTTGATTTGGTGTGAATGAATTGACATTTTTGTTATTAATTAGTACCGTAAAAAGCCTTCCTCATCTTCACGCCGTCGTCGAAGGTTGTCCTCTGGTCGTCGTCGTCGCAGAAGTGCACCTCTTTCAACAGGCATTTTATTTTCGATATTGCATCCCGTTTCACCTCCTAAAAAATTATTAATTCCCACTTCGACATTTCTTTCCTCAAAGCCAAAGCCTACTTTTCGTGTGCGAACTAAACCTTCGAACAACTTCTTAGACATTCTTGGGAAAGTTGAAAGGTCTATACTGGAAGCACAAGCGAGCGGCAATAGAAGAGCAAGCCTGTCCAGACTGACAAGAAACATCAAGTTGGCACTTTCCAAGAAAAGTTACCTCTTCGCAAGAAAGACGCTCGGTCAAGCCCTTTACAGTGCTTTATCMACCAGAMGATCTGGAAAACGATCAGTCATTAATTATGGTGCTCAGTACCTCAAAAAGTTGAAGAATGAATTAGGTGAAACATTCTTTAACAAGTTGGTTGGGTTCAAYGATGATAAGACACTGATGTTTGCTATTGATGACACTGGAAGTATGAGTGGTGAAATCCGCGCAGTGAAGGACATTTCAATAGCGCTGGTCAATGACATGAAAGGAAAATCGGGCATCAACTATATTCTGTCAGTTTTTAACGACCCACTTTCAGGTAAACATATCAATCAAGATCTTCAATTGTGTTCATTATACTTATCGTTTAGATTTTTCTGGCAATCCAAACATGAGTATTTACACAGTCGTAGCAAAACTCTTTGTCTAATCTTTTCGACAAAATATGACAAAAAATTCGAAAATTTATAAAATTAGTATGAAATCAAGCTCAAGAATGTCAAGAAATGTTTCAATATCCTTATTTCAACAAATTTCCAATTAATAATGCTAGTAAAAACCACGTTTAATCACAATGTTCAAGATTGATCATTCGTTCTATATGCCCTCAGTTGAAGGCAATATTATTTTTGTGGCAACATTTGGCTCCTTTTTCTCTTTTTAAATTATTAATTTTTAATTTTAATTTTTAATTTGAAAATTAAAATTTTCAAAATGAAGATTACTATTCATTTCTATTACTAGCCGATTGTAGTAAGTTAGCTTATTTTTGATATTTAAGCCAGTTTTACTGTATTTATCTAACACATAGCTGTTAACCTTATTCAGCCATGCCGTCTGAAGCCCAGGTGTTTGAAGATGGAACAAAGATGGTCACGGCACTGAACAAACTAAGAGCTCATGGCGGTGGTGACTTCCCAGAGCTGACATTCACAGGCATGCAGCGTGCTTTAGAAGCAGGACCCCAGGAAGGTTCTCCAATGTTCGTCTTCACAGATGCCACAGCGAAAGATGTAGCAAAATACAAGGAGATGGTAATTGGTTCTGCTAAAGATTTTGGCGTCAATGTCAACTTTATGGTGAGAGGAAGTGCAGCCTCAACATTTGCTCCGTTTATTGAAACAGCCAAGGAAACCTGTGGAATGGTTGTAAGACTGAAAGATTCCCTTGAAATAAAGAAACTTGCGAACATTGCCAAGCTTTCCTTGAAAAACTATGTTTGCATGCGGAATGACGAGAGCAAGGACGTACCAACAGGAAAACGCTCAGCATCTAAAAGACACGTAATCTTTGTTGATGACTCACTGGAGAAAATAATAATTTCCGTCTCCACAGTGAGACGAAACCCTGTCGTCACTCTTCGAAATCCAAGAGGAAGGGTACAATATAGAGGAAAGATCTCTCTCTACAACGCTATCATTTATGAACTGTACAGGCCAATGGCTGGACGATGGACTCTGACTGTAGCTGCCAGTGCTGGAAAATACCAATACCTGGTCAGAGGTACTGGTACAAGAAACATCGATTTTGATTACTATTTCATGATGGTACCCACCAGAGGAAAGAAGGTTCCAATTCCAATCAGCCAGCCCTTAGCTGGTGAGTACTTATTAAGAAATAAGGTTGTTACCTGTAGATGGCAGGAATAAAGGTGTTGGTAGGGTTTTCTGGTAAGGAAGAGACATTATAATAATGCAGAATTGAAATACGTAAGAATGTCTTCCCTTAAATCTAACAAAATATCTCCAATCTTATGCAGGTCAAAAGGCAAACACCATTGTAACTGTAACTGGAGTCGAAAAGATCCGAACCAGCACTCTAAAACTAGACGTGATTGACAGCAAACGCGGAACAGTTCTTAGGACCCTCACTCTAACACCACGCAAACGATCCAAAGAACATTTCTTGGTGTCATTCTCTCCGCCATCCAAGCCATTCAGGTTCCGACTGAGAGGGAAAACCTTAGCTGGAAATAACTTTGAAAGATCGTCWAAGAAGACCGTCAAGCCACTGACAGCTTTGGTTCGAGTGTACAAAGCHATGAATGGTCTTCTTGCTCTCCCAAGAGGTAGACGCATGTATGTTGTCATGAAGATCTTCAACAATGGGCCAACTGAGGTGTTCGATGTCGCTATCAACGATCCTCTGGGTTATGCCACGTCAAGGCGTAAACTGCAAGTGAAAGTCTATGGCAAGAGGGATCGAAGGTTTGCTTGAAATCACATCATTACTATCATCATCGTCATCTGACCATTATCATCATCATCATCATAACAGAATCACTATCATCATCATTATCATCATTATCACCACCACCATCATCATCATCATCATTATCATCATCATCGCCATCATCGTCATCATCATCACTAGCATCATTATTATCACCATTATCATTATCATTATCATTATATCATTATCATCATAACAGAATCACTATCATCATCATGAAAAATGACTCACTGATGATACAGTTGCGATATAGGGCAGTTTCTACGCATGCTATGAATA